TATAGCTAGTAGCGTCATTTGACATAGCCCTATTCATTTTATAGCTAGTAGTGTCATTTGACATAGCACTGTCCATTGTATAGCTAGTAGCGTCATTTGACATAGCATTGTCCATTGTATGAGAAGCAGCATGAATAATCATACTTCTTTCCATTTTTATAACTAGCAGCTGAATATAGCGTAGCTCCATCCAGTTAATGACTGCCAATTTTTATTTTACAGAACCCGACCTATTTTCAGTTAAGTCCCTTATTAGCGCTATTTTAGGACAATTTTTATACCCAGAATTAGCGCTACTTAAGGACTATTTATAATTATCTAATTGAGATGTACATTAGAAAGTCCAGGCACAATGTGGGGTTTAGAAATTTTGGAAGAAAATCTACAATAGAAACGACATTTTCCATTAGACGGCTCAGGACTAAAATTAGACTAAACACACATCACGTGATATACTGCCCGCGACACCTGGAACAAGGAAACCGTCTTTCATTGTCTCAGACAACTTCCGGTTGGGGGATAAAACCCAACCCCAGCAAGAACGTCTGCTTCCTGTCCAGACAATTACTTGCAGCAGACGGTGAGCCCGTGGCTTTCACGCAGGTCAGTGACGTCGTTAGCCAGTTGCAACCAATCCATTGAGGAGTGTTGTATCTGTACCTAGATCCTAGCCAGTTGTTGTGTCTGTATTTAGCCAGTTGCATTGAGGATTGTTCTGTCTGTATTTAGCCAGTTGCATTGAGGATTGTTCTGTCTGTATTTAGCCAGTTGCATTGAGGAGTGTTCGGTGTGTACTTAGCCAGTTGCATTGAGGATTGTTCTGTCTGTATTTAGCCAGTTGCATTGAGAATTGTTGTCTGTATTTAGCCAGTTGCATTGAGAATTGTTATCTGTATTTAGCCAGTTGCATTGAGGAGTGTTGTGTCTGTATTTAGCCAGTTGCATTGAGGAGTGTTGTGTCTGTATTTAGCCAGTTGCATTGAGGAGTGTTGTGTCTGTATTTAGCCAGTTGCATTGAGGATTGTTCTGTCTGTACTTAACCAGTTGCAATTAGGATTGTTGTGTCTGTGCTAAATTTGGAACTTGGTCCTGGAAAAGAAGGTGTATGTATATGTTACCGGCATGTGTAGGTATATGTTACCGGCATGTGTAGGTATATGTTACCGGCATGTGTAGGTATATGTTACCGGCATGTGTAGGTATATGTTACCGGCTGGTGTAGGTATATGTTACCGGCATGTGTAGGTATATGTTACCGGCTGGTGTAGGTATATGTTACCGGCATGTGTAGGTATATGTTACCGGCATGTGTAGGTATATGTTACCGGCATGTGTAGGTATATGTTACCGGCATGTGTAGGTATATGTTACCGGCATGTGTAGGTATATGTTACCGGCTTGTGTAGGTATATGTTACCGGCATGTGTAGGTATATGTTACCGGCTTGTGTAGGTATATGTTACCGGCTTGTGTAGGTATATGTTACCGGCTTGTGTAGGCATATAATAATATGATATCAGCATGAACTATCCTCCAATGATTATATTTTACAAGATTTCTACATTTTTGCATGTAGGCATTCGATAGAATGACTAACACATTTCATGGCGCGGAACGTTATTGGAGTTGTTAAAAAGGTGGAAAATTAAAATAAAAATATAACAAAATCGCATCATATACACAAAAGTTATCTGAAAAGGAAATAAAAATACATAGTTGATCATAAATCCAAACCTGAAAGTAATTTTAGGGCAAAATTAGATTTAGGGTTTGAGTTAGGTTTCAATATAGGTTTAAGCTATGAGCTTATAACAGAACCGTGCTTGCCTAGCACTCACACGTTATATATATATATATATATATATATATATATATATATATATATATATATATATATATATATATATATATATGTTTATATAAAAGTTTATATATTTATATATACGTTTGTTTACTACAGTGTGTTTTGGACTTAAATTTTGACGGTGACAATTAGCGCGACCGCGAGAAGAGAAAGATGGACTGGAGAGTTTTACGATAAGCTGCCCAGAAAACTGTAAAAATGGCCTCCTGTCGTTTCTCTATTTTTATGTGTACCAGGTGACCCATAAAACGCGACTCAGACCCGGGGTTTAAAGAAAACCCTTGCACTTCTCTGTCTGTGGGGTTGGGTTTAAAATGTTCAGGATTATGTCTTCGTTATTAAACTTTTTGTTTGTATTATACACCGTCTAAAGGTACATTTTTAAAGTCTTTGAGCTTTTGAGTAGCTTCCGGTGTGATGGAACGGGAAATATTAAGTTGAGCTATCAGTGGGGAAATACGACGTAGCTTTGATGCCCTTGAAAGTCTATTTTTGAGTATTATGTAAGCATCTATTTTTAGAATATTATTTAAACATTTCGTTTTAGGTGTTATGTAAACATCTATTTTAGAAATTTTCATGTAAACATCAATTTTAGAAATTTTCATGTAAACATCTATTTTTGGAGTGTGCTATAACATTATTTTTAACATAACATTTGAGTTGTTTGTTAGTATACTGAAACATTAATTTATTTTAGGTAAATAATAATGTACTATTAATAGCATGTAATGTGGTGTAGTATTTAGCTTCTGAGACCCCTCCCCCACAAAGAAGCTCCTTCTGTTTCCCCTCCCCGTGGTGGATGTGAGTGGTATCCCGTGGAGGGACTTCCTGTGTGTGTGACACAACCGCGTGCCAAGAAGTCTCTGTCATCTGTTAGCTCCAGTCTCGCGTTAAGACAGTCTCTGTCTTAAGACAGCCTCGTGTTAAGACAGTCTCTGTCTTAGCTCCAGCCTCGTCTTAAGACAGTCTCTGTCTTTTCTTAGCTCCAGCCTAGTGTTAAGACAGTCTCTGTCTTAGTCCCAGCCTAGTGTTAAGACAGTCTCTGTCTTAGCTCCAGCCTTGTCTTAAGACAGTCTCTGTCTTAGCTCCAGCCTTGTCTTAAGACAGTCTCTGTCTTAGCTCCAGCCTAGTGTTAAGACAGTCTCTGTCTTAGCTCCAGCCTTGTCTTAAGACAGTCTCTGTCTTAGCTCCAGTCTCGTGTTAAGACAGTCTCTGTCTTAGCTCAAGCCTCGTCTTAAGACAGTCTCTGTCTTAGCTTCAGCCTAGTGTTAAGACAGTCTCTGTCTTAGCTCCAGCCTAGTGTTAAGACAGTCTCTGTCTTAGCTCCAGCCTCGTGTTAAGACAGTCAGACAGTCTCTGTCTTTTGTTAGCTCCAGCCTCGTGTTAAGACAGTCTCTGTCTTAGCTCTAGCTCGTCTTAAGACAGTCTCTGTCTTAGCTTCAGCCTGGTGTTAAGACAGTCTCTGTCTTAGTCCCAGCCTTGTTTTAAGAAGTCTCTGTCTTTTGTTAGCACCAGCCTAGTGTTAAGACAGTCAGACAGTCTCTGTCTTTTGTTAGCACCAGCCTAGTGTTAAGACAGTCTCTGTCTTAGCTCCAGCATCGTGTTAAGACAGTCTCTGTCTCTGAATATCTAAATCCTTGTTTGGAAGCTGAGTTATGTGTAATCCAGAGTTGTACGAGTCTCTAAATCATTGTTCGGATGCTGAGTCATCTAAACATCAGAGTTGTGAAAGTCTCCAAATCTTTGTTCGGATGTTGAGTCATCTAATCATCAGTGTTGTAAAAGTTTACGAATCTTTGTTCGGATGTTGAGTCATATCAGCATCAGAATTGTGAAAGTCTTCAAATCTTTGTTCGCATTCTGAATCACCTGAACCGCCAGAGTCATCAGTATTTAAATATCTGTTTAAAAGCTGAACCTTGCTAAGTGTCTGACTATTGCATAAGCTTAGTTGTCTAACCAAAGTGTCTGACTATTGCATAAGCTTAGTTGTCTAACCAAAGTGTCTGACTATTGCATAAGCTTAGTTGTCTAACCAAAGTGTCTGACTATTGCATAAGCTTAGTTGTCTAACCAAAGTGTCTGACTATTGCATAAGCTTAGTTGTCTAACCAAAGTGTCTGACTATTGCATAAGCTTAGTTGTCTAACCAATGTGTCTGACAATTGCATAAGCTTAGTTGTCTAACCAAAGTGTCTGACTATTGCATAAGCTTAGTTGTCTAACCAAAGTGTCTGACTATTGCATAAGCTTAGTTGTCTAACCAAAGTGTCTGACTATTGCATAAGCTTAGTTGTCTAACCAAAGTGTCTGACTATTGCATAAGCTTAGTTGTCTAACCGTCCTGGTATCGTGTCCAAATCTCTACCTGCTCACAAGATGTAATCAGACG